ATGGCTTTTCCGCAGCCCCAACCCAGGACTGTCGCGTCAGCATTTTAACAGCCATCCAGTTGCAATCAGGATAGCCCTACAGAAAGTCTAAGACTGCATTTCTATCACCTGTGCACTGCCAATGACCTCCCACCTTTTCCCCTATTGTTAAAGTGTGTCTACTTTCATTCCCCTTCTGGCAGAGGTTTCAGCTACAGAAGGTAAGTTTTATGAGTATCTTTTCTCTCTTTCTGTTGTAGAGCCAAAATGAATCTAAATCTTTAAGACCTTGGATAATTACAGAAAGTACCACGGGTAACAAATCAGTGTAAGCTTAAATGATAATGAGGCTAACTAGCAATGTAATGGTTCCCAAGGCAATGGCAGTTCCCCCCACACTCCACCTCCCACCTCCCTCTTGCGACTGTGGTCACTGATGTCGTTTGCTTGGCTTACAATAGCTAATGCCACACAAAATAATATTGAAATTGCCATGCCAGTCTGCTGAAGGACAGAAATTCTGAACAAAGGCAGTCACAGCAATCTTGACGTCAAACTGGTGCTGTCTTTCCATTTCATACTACGTCAATAGCTTGCAGAATGTAAGGCCACAAGTCAGCATCAGTCGCTGTTGCCAAGATATTAGTAGGATTTAGACAGAGGCCTCAACATTTATAGTGATGAGAAGGAATGCCCTGCTCCTTTAAGGGATGCTGTCTAGACCAGTAGTGCAATGAGAGGTGGGTGATCAGGGCTCCAGCTCCAGGCAGTTGCTTAGAGGGGGCTCAAGAAGAGCAAACACTGCTGCTGCCAGCCCAGGGTGCAGACCCTGGTTGTTATGCCTCTGTTCTAGGCTACAGCCTTGCATGCACATAGCCAAGGAACTACCCTACACTCTACCCACATTAGGCTAGGCTATATAAAGGGAGGAGAAAGCACTTGTGTGCCTAAATGGCAATTTCCTGGTCTCACACCTGGGTGTTTTTTGGCCCTGCCTTCATGCTGTGGTTGTATAAGCATGTGCACACAGACCTAGCATGCTCAGCAGGGCTACACACTAGCTGGACACACAGGTGGTGACATGCATATAAAGCCAAAAGAAAGCCAGAGGAAGGAGAAAGGGGACCCTCCCTTATCATAGCACCAAAGTTGTTAGGGTTTAGTCTTGCAGCTGAGACGCTGCCCCTCCATCGTATAAAATGAGCAAGGAGCCAGACAGTGAGGAAATTTCCACCCAGCTGAGAAACTAGAACCCAGGGCCCTCACCTTTCTAAAGCAGCAGTCACTTCTCTGAGCTGCACACCTTCTAGCTTGTCTTTGTCCTCTTGGCTCCAAAGATCTCCCTCTCTTGCTTTGCAAAGGAGTACTAGAGAGGGGTCTGGATATGCCTAACTTGTGGTATGCTAACTGAAGCAGTGGGCTAGGAAGTCAGAGAGGGACAGGTTTAGAGCCCCCCTGGGTCAAAAGGCCTAGAACCTAGGCCTACTGCTCCCTGCGTTAGCTCTTAGCCATGCAACTAACTGTAGGAGAGAGACCCACTCACTCCCCCCCCCCCCATCCTTCTCCATCTAAAATGGGGTTTTGGGCAGCTACATTTTTATAACTTAGATGCAGACCAGGCAGGGGTAGAGCTGGGGGTGGTGGAAATGGAGATGCTGCAGGGCATCCTCCTTTGATTCCTGCTCCACAGAAAGTTTAAAACAGGCTTATTGCAAATATTTAGTCTATGGATGGACTCACGCACCCACACCACAAGGGAAGTAGAATCATCAAAATTGCCACTTTAACAGCTAAAAAAAGGGGAGAGAGAGAGACCCTTAAACTGACACCAGCACATGGCACTTACATTTGGTTGGCAGGGGTTTCTATGGCTCACACATATTATGCAAAGAGCTGGGCACCTAGGAAAAGCTCAAACTCCTAATTCCTGTTTTTTTAAGGAGATATCAGGCCTCTGCCTCCCTGTCCTTCCCTGATTTCCAAGGATTGCCCCAAAAAGCAAGGACGGCACTGTTGATTTTCCCACCCTCCCTTTCAACACCCTTTGAGAGGATGAGAATAGTTTTATATGTCAGCTGTAAAAAGAGCGCTGGTCATGGATCCAGAATTTGAGGCTTTCCTTTTACGCCATTGCCTCTGAAGTCACAGGTGTTTTCCCAATCCAGGTGTTTTGTCAAACTGGCCAACTGTCTAGAGTTCTTACGGATGAAGGGACTAATGTATGCTCCAACTGGTGAACCAGCTCTAGGCTCTGTTGAAAAAAATCTATGTGGTTTGGTGGAACACTTCAAGAAGAGTTGAAGTTCAAATTAAAAAAGGTTGTGTGGACAGGATGCTAAATACAGAGAAGTTATCCCCCTACATCTGTTTGTGACAGATATCCACTGGCTCCCCCTCCCTTTGAGCTCCATTATGGGCATCAGCCTTAAGGGATTTTGGAGTCAGTTAAGGACTCAGAAAACCCTGCCCACGTGAACAACATCCTGCAGCATGTCATTTGAAAGAGACCAAGTAAAGCATATCAGCCACTTTGCTAGGGTGAAGTTACACTTTACATTTAGATTGTACTAGGGGCATTTAAAACATGAGCATCCACACATTAAAGCTCGTTAGCATGTTCTAAGTCCCCTCTAACTGTCTCAAAGTTACATCACTTCAGATGAGGGTTAACTCTGGGCTATGCTACCTAGCTCATGTCATGGTAACTTCAGTCTGTTCCATGGAGATAAAACTATCAATTTGCAGTCTTCCAGCATCACAGGATGCACCATTCCCAGTCTCCCCCAGCCCCTTCACCAGTTGCCTTGACTCCTAGCCATGCCCCTGCAAGTCAAAGCTATGCAGGCAAGAAACAGTATTAACCCATATCCTGCGACTGCACACACCACACTCCAACTTTAACACTACTTAACATTTCTCAGATCTAATACGGACTAAGTGTAACATTTAACTTCACCCTGGGCACACGCATATGTGCAATTAATGTGAACAAATAAACTCTGGTGCACATTGGTGCATTTACACATACACCCAGGACTGCAGCACACTGAGCCAGGTTGGAGCGCCCTAGCTGGCAGGGGCTGTGAGGGCCGACGTGCTCTCACCTGGCTCAACGTGCTGTGAAGTGGGTGGCTAGGGCACAAGGGTGCTCTAGTGCAGGGCTAGCTGGCAGACAGCCGCCCCACACTGAAGCACCTTGTGCCCCAGCCAATCTCATCAGTGTCTGCACATGTGTTGCAGCAGAGTAAATAACTCTGCCATAGGCTGGGGGGCAACAAGGCCTCTCTACATCTCTCTTGTCTGTTAGCTACCTGATAATTTTTCTTATATCTTGATTTACGTACATATAGAGTCTTGCACAAGCCCTTGTTCCATCTGCTGTTTAGCTCTGCCGTGTTTGCTTCTCTCCCAGGGTGATACCTGAAAGCTCGTCTAAATCTATCCCAACCATGCAGTTGATCAAATAAAAGAAATCATCCACAAAAACTCTTGCTTCTTCCATATTTCCTAGACTACCATAGTTACAACATCACTTCAAGACTACCACAGCAAGGCCTCCTCATTTGCCACAAGGAAGAAAAATCCTGGACATCAGATTTTTACCAAGCTAGCAGTAGAGGAAAGTGCCACTGGGAAACATGTAGGGGAAGGCTCCTGACCATGGTTTCCCTAGGATATGCTCTCCTTTGTCCTGTACAATGGTTGGTGGCCCCATCCCACACTGGGAGTTTTGGTGAGCTGTTGTGCGGGGAGGGGGCGTGCTGACCTGGCCCATGACAGCTCAGCAAAACTCTCTATGTGACCCCTGGGTCCAAATAATTGCCCATCCCAATCTAGTTGGTCATACCTGGCATGGGCTGGCCATGATCAAGGGACCTGCTGCAAGCCAGACAAAATCCCATGGATCTGGCCTGTGGGCCATATTTTGACCACCCTGAACTAGATTAAAGTAGAACCAGGGGTGAAACCCACCCCAAATTCCTTTGGGTCCTTGAAGGAATTAAAAAAAAAACAATCCTTGATCATGAAGTACAGAGAAACAGGACTAATCAAGACATCCTGGTTTTATTCAGTATTCTCTGTGCCAACATCTGAGGGGTTCTGTGTAGATGTCCAGGACATAAATGCCATGTCTTACTTTGATGCCTAAAAGTACCCTGGGATGGATGAATTAGTCTACTGAATCACATTGGTCAGCCCAGATACATTCCTACCTTAGTGCTGACTAAGGGTTATTGGCAAATTCTCACTTTACCCTGATTCTTGTGAGAAAACGAATGGCCTTTGCTATTCCAATCAGTTTATTTCAGTGTGTCACTATGCACTCTGGATTACACAGGGCCTCAGGTACATTGCAAAGGCTTTCTAATGCCAATTGTACCCTGGACACTGGTGTGTATCTGGAGTCATATCACTGTATGTCATGGCACCAGTGTGGACTAAATTTTAGGAAGGGGGCACAGAATCTGCCCCAATGGAGTCCTAGCAAGTGGTAGTGAACCCTGGTCTGCAGGGCACAGGGTGATCTAAAAACAAAGGGCTCACCAGCCCTTAGTCTTACCTCTAATTCCACTCTCCTGTGTAAGCTGTATGTGTGGCAGGAAGAGTCCCAGGACAAGTGTGATTTCAGGAGAGATCTGACAGTGGGGAGAGCCAGCTAATGGCCTAAGTGGGATTGTGCTAATGACAGAGAACTGGGAAATGCTGAGTATTGTACAAAATCTAGGTTTCAGAGGGGGTGAAGGAATTAACATTTGGAAGCTATTATATAAGTCCTGATACATCAGGGTTTATAAGCAAATCTTTAACTGATGGGGGGGTCAGAAAACTTTTTGTAAATGCATACTATTCCATAGCTATATGCCAGGTTTCTTGCACTTTCCTCAATTCTGGATTCTGTTGCAGACAGGATACTAAACTGGATGAATCATTGTTGAGGTTCAGTGGGGCAGTTCCCACATTCCTGTGTTTACAGATACATGCTATCTTTGAAAACAATGTAAGAGCACACGAGAACTTACCTGTCCTGAATCTGATGAGCGTGTCAAAAACATATACCATATCAGAGCAGTAGTCTAAGAGCAGCCATAACTTAATATGGTCCATTTGTAGTTCATCAAAACAGGCTCTAAACAAACACAAAGGCATAAAAGATTTAATTCCCTTTGGGTAAGCTGATGTCTCAGATAAATCACTCCCTCTCTTCTCTTTCCTTTCTCGTTTCAAAGACCTTTAACATGTTGTGAAAGGCACAGGCCTCATCACATGCTGTTTGAGACTGACAAAGCACTCTCTAAAACAAATGCTTTAATTCATATAAAGCTGTGCTTAAGGCTTCAATTAACTGCTTTAAAAGGGGAAAGAGAGAGATGCTGTTTGGGATCAGCTGTTACAGTATATTGTAAAACTGTACAATGCGTACAATTTGATACAATGCAACTGATACATGTGTATACCCACAGAGAAAAGAAGAGCTTCCAGATTAAGCAGCCAGCACCTATTGCTGTTAGTGAGCATATTTTGAGCAATGAATACACACTAGCATCTTTTCTGTGAATTTAAAAGGAATAATTTTAAATAGGTTCTTTCGGAAGCTAAAGTTGATATACCATGGCAAATTTCACAACTGCATTCATACACATACATGCTATTTTCTTCCCTTGTGCCCCCTCCCCTCATTTTACTCTGCCTCCGTTTTCACAGGACAGATCCTCAAGCTCACAGTCACGGGTGGATAACTACAAGGATGTGTGGGCAAAAATTAACTGAGATTCAAGAGAGAAGGCTTGCCTCTGAGAGGCCCAGGGCAAACCATCCCCACTGTCTCCCCATGCCACAGGCGAAGCAGCATGGTTAGCTCTTACTTGACATTAATGCTAATTGCTCATTTCACATGTAAAAATAAAAATCCAGACACTCCAATAATATCTTCTGGTCCTTGGAGGAAAAGCCCTGTAGCCCTGTAGAAATTCCTCATTTAAATGTTGAATGACATCTCTGTGCCCACTCTCAGTTCTTTCCTGCCACCTCAAATGTGCCTACACCATACTGACATTTATAATGACTACTGATAGTCAGGAAAAAAAGTTTATCCAACAGTGGTAACAGTGCCTACAATGATACTTCTGTTTAGTGTCATCACTGCACTGTAGCCAGTAGATGGCACACAAAGGCCGTTGCAGGCCCAGCGCTGAACGTGTTTGCTGTGTGTCAAAGATTCAGAGATACAAAAAACAACAGGCCACTTTATGAGTAGATAGCTGAAATGTAAACAAAGGGCCCTATGCTGAGCCACCGACGAGACTTCACAGGAAGGTAGAAGGACCCCAAAGTTGGGAAACCAAATCATACACTTTAAATTCCATTTTTGAAACCTAAAATAATTATTTCATATGAACCCATACCTGCACACTAGTATATACCAGTTATAAAATACTGGTGCAGCAATTACGCTCAGCCACCTATAGTACAGGTTGCTTGAAGGATCAATCACAAGAATTTCTTTCTTCTTCCTGAAACATAAAAATAAAGTGATTCACACTGAAAAATATTAACACTTTAACAAGATCACCTCTTTGATCTCTCAGGCCAGACATCTCACTAGTAATCCCCAATTCACTTTTGACTTTGGTACAGTACCACAGGAAATGCCATCCTGGATGTTAGGCAGTAGAGCAACTGCAGCTTGTACCTGTTTGGCTAAGTTTTGTGGAAATCAAAAGGCAGTAGAAATGTCTAGAAAGATGTCAAACTATCATGGGTTCAAGCTGACCAAAACCAATTAAAACTTCCTCTAAGTCAGATTGCTTTAAATAAATCAGCCCTTGAAACAGAATGAAAAAGTCAAAGGCTCCTTACAGTCCACCCTGTCAGGAAGCTATGTTTCTTTTTCCAGGGCGGATTTTCTCAGGGAGTCTTGGTTAAGTACTTACATCTCCTATTTTCACTATGACAACATTATCAGTTCATGCCCAACTGCTTTATTATAAGCAAGGATCCTGGTTTTCTCCAATTTTAAAAAAATCCCCAATTTTCAGTTAAAAAAAGTAACCCCAAATCCACTTTTTTTCATGAATAAAATGAAACAGCACTAATATATATACATATTCGCACACACACAAACATACATACATACATACATATATATACACACAGACATACATACATATATATACACACATACATATATATTAGGGCCGTGCGAGGGTTTGGACAGAGCTTCAGAGCCAGAGAAACTTCAGACATTTTGGGGTCCGAAGCAGCACGTCCGGGTCAAAGCGCTGGCCTCGTTCGGCTTCCCGGAGCGGTTTGCACCTGCTTCGGAGCTGCCTCGGAGATCCGGCCGTAGGATAGAATGGGGAAACAATAAAATATCTATAAGTTTGTTGTTTTTTGTCCAATTTGGATGAAATTTTCAGGAGTGGTAGATTCTGCAGAGAGAATAAAGTCTGCCAAGTTTCAAGAAGATTGGTGCAGCGATTTAGGGGGAATGGCACCCCAAATTCTTGAAAGCAAAACTCATGTCACGTCTAGGCATTACAACATAGCAGGGTGAAAACTCCAGAGGTGGTAGCTCTTACTGAGGCCACAAAGCCTGCCAAGTTTCAAGGAGATTGGTGCAGGGATTTGGGGGGAACTGCACCTCAAGCTGTGGACAAGCAAAACTCATGCCATGGGTGCTTGTGGGACTGACTGTGTCTGTCTGGGGGAGGGGAGGGGAGACACTGCTGCAGGCCTGGCTGCTAAGCTGCTGTGTTACCAGTTACGGATCAATCAGTCATGATTGCTCAGGGACCAGCTCAATACACAGGACCTAGCTACTACATAACGACTTAACAAGCATCAATTAGCACCTACAAAACCAGGCTAAGAAGAGGAAAGACTCAGTACAGACAGTCAACTGCCCCAAGACAGACACAGTCTTGGCATGAGTTTTGTCCGTCAGCAGCTAGGGGTGCAGGGCCCCAGGACCCTCCCTACACCAATCTCCTCCACAGCTGGCAGGCATCATGGCCACAGCAGGGGCCACCATCCCTGCAGCTGTCACCCTGCTGCGCCTTAACACACTCAGTGTCACCCATGGCACGAGTTTTGCTTGTCCACAGCTTGAGGTGCAGTTCCCCCCAAATCCCTGCACCAATCTCCTTGAAACTTGGCAGGCTTTGTGGCCTCAGTAAGAACTACCAGCCCTGCTGTTTTGACCCCCTCTGTGGTGTAACACACAGCCATGACATGAATTTGGCTTTCAAGAATTTAGGGTACAGTTCCCCCCAAACTGCTGCACTGATCTTCTTGAAACTTGGCAGTTTCATGCTCTCAGCAGAGGCTACAACCCCTGCAAATTTCATCCAAATCGGACAAAAAACAACTAAGTTATAGATATTTCATTGATTCCCCATTATACCCTGTGGCCGGATCTCCAAGGTGGCTCCGAAGCTTCGGAGCCACTTCGGCCGGATAGAGGCGGAAACCTGGTCCGGAGCTCTGGATCAGATCGCAGCCATCTGAAGCGGCCAGATCCGAAGCCAGATTGGATCGCTGCCGACTCGCACAGGCCTAATACACACACACACACACACACACACACACTAGTGGTGTTTCATTTAAATCACAGAAAAATGTGGATTTGGGGTTATTTTTTTCACTGAAAATTGGGGATTTTTTAAAATCAGAGAAAACCAGGATCCCTGATTATAAGTATATGAATAAGATGCCCATAAAAGAAAAGGAGTTTTCCAATTCTCTGTGAGATCCTGAACTGTTTTTCCATCAGCTTGTCTCCCACCATCTGTCACCAGCACACTCATGATACTATGGTAACATTTTGGACAGTATTTCTTTAGTATAACTTATTGTATGACAGTATAACTTATTCTAGTTAAAGACCAAGATCTTGATCCTATGTTGACTGAAATCAGTGACAAAGTAATGAAACTCACACCCTGGAAACCCCCTGTCGGGTCAGGGCATAGCAGCATGAAATGCATGCCTTAGCAATCCCCTGTGCGGGAATTTCCAGGGTGTACAATAAGCAAATAAGCAAACAGATGTCCTTCCCCTTAAGGCATCAAAACTGTTTGGTCACGCAAACTTATTTGAGGAAATGGAGCACAACAAGGGGCAGGCATGTCTGTTTGCTCACAACTTGTGCCACTGTAAAAAGGCAATGTCTGCCTGCACTCTGAATAGCTCTATTAATTTTACTGCAGCTATTCTTAGAGTAAGAAAAAAGGATGTGAGAAAAAGGAGTAGGATTGGCTGGAAAGTTATAATGCACTTAAGTGAAAATATGTATGCTTGGAAATGATTATGTACAGGCATGTGACCCTGCAACTTTAGGTTCACAAACATATCTGTATGTACATGAAGAGGTGAAATAATGGTAAAACTTCAATTACACATAGTCATAGTAGAAGCTTCCCACTTAAAATTGAGATCTGCCAGCAGTGGGTTTATCCATGTCTTATAAGAGCCACAACAAAATTGTTGTCAAAGAGCTATGGCCTTCTATTTACAAAAACAATTGTTTCAAATAAATTACTCCCATTCTTCTTTACTTTTTTGTTTCAGACTGTTTATGAAAAAGGCCCCATCACGCACTGCTTGAGGCTGAAAGAGCATCCTCCAGCACAGAGGAACCCAGAGGAACAGATGTCCACCTTCAGTTTCCTGCGAAAAATGAAGTTTATTTCCTACTTATGGGGACTTTTTACCATCTTTAATTTTCCCTGAGCCTGAGGAAGGATGCATGTGCCTGAAAGCTTACAGAAAAAGATTTATTTTTTTTGTGATTTTGTAGTTGGTCTAATAACAGGTATCATCTCTGAACCAAGAGTTCTAGAGTTTTGCATTCCTCCAGAAGAAACACTTTCAAATCACATAAAGCTTTGAATAAGAAAAAAGAATATTTCCCAGGATTAGGCAGAATCCATCTAAAAGCAGAGTTTTTACTAGAGATGCTACATCTAAATAGCACCTACCACATGCTTTACACAAATTTGTTAGGCACTAATTACCATACAACTCTTACACATAGTGTTCACTCGTGACACTCATTTCTTTACACCTCTTGCTGTTATTTACCATTGATGTTATTTAGTGCCAGAGTCCTCCTAGTATAGACCAGGACCTCATGGTGCTTGGTGTCATTCTTTTTTACAAGGCATTGAATTGAAGTAAACTCTAATTAATGGATGCAGGTTTTATAAACTATTCAACTGGGAGCAATCATCTCTTTACTCAACTTTGAGGACCAAATGCACTACACCGTGTGCTTCATGTCACAGCTATGGTGAGGTGAATATGGTTGATCCTGCTCATCCCAGTGTAAATACTGAAAAACTCCAGACATTGAACTGGTCTATATTTGCCCACATATAATGATCTGAGGTTTTGCCTAAGAAAGATCCTTGATTCTTCTGCCCTGAATCCTGCTATGACCAAGCCTGCACAGACCTGCAAAGAAGATAGCTGTACTGAAAGAACCTGGTAAGAAAGACGAGTGCTTAAACAGCTAGTTCAGTTAATCAGATATCCGCTTTCTTTCTGAGGCTGGTGTTCTGCAGTGGCGGGGAGGGGGGTAGTTTATCACTACACACTATTCATACTCACTCTTCTTTTTTCTTATCGTCTTTTTTGTCATCTTTCTTTTCCTCCTTCTTTTCTTCTTTCTTCTCCTCCTTAACATCTTTATTATCTTCCTTCTTGCTGTGTAACACAGTGTAATATTTAGCAACATTTCCAGTTCCCCAGCTGGGGCAGAGTATGAAATCTGAGGTGAGGATTAAGAAGCTAGTGGCCTGGGATTTTTGTCTTGATCAACCAGGGTTTCTCAAGTGAACCATTTCCCCATTTGGTTTAACTAGCACATGCGTTACAGGTTCTAGGCTGCAGAATTAACAGAAACACATTATTAAACCATGTAACCAGCTGGCTGATTCTGTGCGAGATTCCTCCTTGCTTCAGCAACCTACTAGCAAGTCCATATAAAAGGGCTGTTTGAATTAAACATTCCAGTGTGCGCCATACTTTAAAATTCAGGCAATCAAAAATCTGCTTCATGGCATTAGTACTTGAAGTGGCTTGAAAGTCCTATAATTTTCTTGGCCTTGTATATAGCCAAGCTCTAAACAGCCTGTTTGAAGCTATAGTGATAATAAAGAATCTGACTATTTTCTCATACTTGTTCTACACTAAACTAGCTTCATTTAAGTTACTTCTGATTTATACCAGTGGATGAGGAGAATCAGAAGCAACACATTTAAACAAAGTAGGCCAAAAATGTGAAGCAAACTTGTACTCTATATTCAGCACTGAAGGTTTATTCAGAATCTGAACATTGCAGGTGAACTCTTCTTCACAACTGCAATTAACCTGAGTTCTGGCATTGATTCATAGATTCATAGATGTTAGGGTCGGAAGGGACCTCAATAGATCATTGAGTCCGACCCCCTGCATAGGCAGGAAAGACTTGGGAGCCCATTCCAGACCTTGGCCACTCTAACTGTGAAGAAGTTCTTCCTAATGTCCAGTCTAAATCTGCTCTCTGCTAGCTTGTGGCCATTATTTCTTGTAACCCCCCCCGGGGGCGCCTTGGTGAATAAAACCTCACCAATTCCCTTCTGTGCCCCCGTGATGAACTTATCGGCAGCCACAAGGTCGCCTCTCAACCTTCTCTTGCGGAGGCTGAAAAGGTCCAGGTTCTCTAGTCTCTCCTCATAGGGCTTGGTCTGCAAGCCCTTAACCATACGAGTGGCCCTTCTTGGCTTTTTTGATGCCTTCGTCACACTGCCGACTCATGTTCATCTTGGAGTCCACTAGGACTCCAAGATCCCTTTCCACTTCCGTGCCACCCAGCAGGTCATTCCCTAGGCTGTAGGTGTGCTGGCCATTTTTCCTCCCTAGGTGCAGTACTTTGCATTTCTCCTTGTTGAACTGCATTCTGTTGTTTTCTGCCCACTTGTCCAACCTGTCCAGGTGTGCTTGCAGCTGTTCCCTGCCCTCCGGCATGTCCACTTCTCCCCATAGCTTTGACTTCAATAGGCTCAGGATTTTCTCCCATATTTATTACATTATTAATTGTTCTATAAATTGTATTAAGAAGTAAATAAATACGTGACATTCAGATGACCTTTTTTGCCCATCATCTTTTTGCATTTCCTACATTCCATTGTGTCAAAGATCAGCAACCAAACCAAACAGAACCAAACTTCAAAATTAAGATCCACATATATACTTTCCCAGAGCTCAGTTTCCTAGAGCTGTCATTCAGCCCTGTACAGAAAAAGCAGCCTCTGATGTGCATGTGGATCTCATCTGATGTGGATCTCATTTTCTATTAAATTGAAGTGATTTGTTTTTTAAATTCAGGGTGATTTGCTTCAACCCCCAATGTAAGTTTAGAATTTTTTTGAGTAGCAGTGATTTTTTCTTTTTGCTTAGAAATTAGCCCTTGTTAAAACGTAGGGTCAAAATCCCTGCTAAGATTAATGGTCATAGCACATATAAATTAATGGAACTATTTGCATTTACACCAGAAGAGAATCTGGCCTTGAATCTTTATGTACAATTTTTTTCAAGAGTTTTTTTCCCCCGAAGGAGGCAGTGCCTCCATCCTTCATTTGAGATCATGAATATCCCTGACACTCCAATGCAAGTGATTCACTCTCTACCTGCCAGCTGTAGTTTGAATAACAGGCACAGAATTTGTTTACATGGTGGTTGTCTGCTCCACTCAGAACTGCATGGGTTAGGTAGGTCTGATTCTCCTTTTGCACCAGTGTAAACCGGAAGCAAATTAATTCCAGTGAATGCAAACACACGAGTTGGAGTACACAGGAGCAGAATCAGCTCCAACAGACATGTAGAAGACACTTGCTTATGGAAGCTGAGCCAGCAGGCACATCCCAGAGAAGTGCCATGGGCTCAGATGTGCTTGCTCATTTTAGGGAGGGAGTACTTTAAAGGGGAGAAGGACAGCATGGAAAATGTTTTCACCAATTTTAAAATAAATGCAGTTGCCTGAAGGTACCTATTTCATACTAAAAAGAAACACAATGCTTGATGCTGCACTTCTCTCACTGTTAGTTGTTGCTGTTCTTCTTCTTCTGCCCTGTCTGAGGTGGTTGATGACAGGTATTTAGGAGAATTCACAGATTTGTTACAATCTGATAGGGCTGCAACATGAGCGCTTCTTCTATGGCCATTATGGCAATTAGTTGTGATGCAGCAATACAGCACAGTCTGGAACAAACCCAACTTTACTTGCAGGGAGAAGGTAGAATCCTAAAGCCATTCCTGTGTGCGTTCTCTGCAGGGTTACTGAAACATTGACCAAACTAGGCTTGAGTTTCCTCAACTCAATCAGTGGAACTGCAGTAAGGACTATGAACAATCCTACTTGCCAGGGACCACAATTATAAGGGCAAAAATGTGCTGACTGACTGAGCTCATCAATTCCTATCGACATATCAAGTCAATTAAACAAGATTTTTCACAGTGTTTCCCTTACCAATGCTAGCTTCCACACAGTTATTGAGGATGCTATTCACAAATGTATTTTCACTGCTATTAGCCTCCTGGACCCCTTTGATTGCATTTTAAATTCAAATCTGCCATTCCCACAAAGCTCCATGCTGTTTAGAAACACTCTAAAATGTCATATTACCTACTCTGACAGCAAGTCACTACACTCAGTGCACGCTGTGAAACCAATTCACAACCACTTTTAGCATTAAAGTACTGCTTCATGATACTCAAAATGTTGGGCTCCCCAGGGTGGTTGCAGAACTATGGAAAAATGTGTCTTTTTTTAAAACAGCAGTGTTCTGTACGCACATGAGCCTGATTACGCAGGAAAGATGCATTTGACGTGGCTAAGCAATCAAAATGCTTCAACACCACTGAACCGTGGACAGGGTGTTTTGACAACTCTACCTTTCTAGTAAAAGCTATTTCTGTTTTAAATTGAAAAGACAAAAATTCCATTCAGCATCTGATGGTGGGTTTTATTTTCTTTGGCACTAGGATTTGCTACTGACCGTCTCCATTCACTCCAGGTTTGCAGCGTGGGCAAGAATTTTCCATTTCTTTATTTATTTCTGACACTGCTCTGTTCCTCTCCCTGTTATAACAATATTATCATGGTCCTGAAGACTGACCAATGGGGAAACACTCAGAGAAAAGGTGGTCACACCCCCTCTCAATCGCGAGAGCAAATGCAGCACCTCCAGGCAAAGACTTGAAGGACTGATTCCTATTGCTTCAGCAGTGGATAAAGTCCCTTTCATATGTATAACTAATGATACCTGCAGCTTATTTCCTCACTAGCTTTGTTGAATAACAGCATTCAGATCATCACTTGAAAAGATATGTGTCTGTTTGTTTCTTTGATTATAAAAAAAATGGATATGTGATATTCAGTTTCTCCTGCAGAAGATGTCCCCTTGGGCTGAACAAGACCTGTCTGCCTCTGCCACTGTAAAATATGACTACAGAACTGTAAAGACACATAGACTTTATATGGCATTCCTTACCTTTTAACTGCTTTACAAATCAGCAAGCTAATCCTCACAATACCAGCCATCTCCATTTTGAAAAACTAAAGCACCAAGAGGCTGAGCGACTTGCTAAAATCCACAGCCTGAGCCATTGTCAGAAATAGGATAAAACTCTGGAGATTCCATCTCTTAGTCTTTCCACTTGAACTGGAAATCATGCTTCAGTCTTTTTGCTCTGTTTTACTATGGGGCTAGCCTAAAATATTGTCTATTTTCAGCCTTATAGGAGTGCATTTATTTTTACAAGAGTAGGAGTCACAAACACAGAACATCAATAACATCAATTCAAGAGAGATCAGAAATTCTTTCCTGTAGGGATTATGAAATATATTGTACTTATGCAACAGGCATTGGGATGTTCTATCATAATGGGTGCAAGCATGACAATTTCACAAGTCTGATTTGAAAGACACAAATTTACACACGCACACAGGCATGCACAACACACATACACACATAGTGTCAAAATACAGGATAAAGTGTGATAAGCCACAGGTGGGCTAATGTAGGAGTAAAGTTGGGTGGACAATAGGAAAGAGATTGGTAGGCCTAGGCGATTTCAAGGAGGTTGACTTCAGGAGGTCGAGGGAGACCCACCAAGAATTTGTAAAGAAAGTAAGAAAGTTTTGTGTATTGGGAATGACCAGATAAGTCTGTATGGAAGTTTGGGCAAGTTCTGACCAGCTTTTATAACCCAGAAGAAGGTGATGAAATAAGAAATCTAGGGTAATAAGAGAGGCAGGGAAGATGGATTATTTGCTAGTGTGAGCTCATCTGGCGGAGCCAGCCAACATGGCACAGCTAGACTCTCCCTCTCCAGCCCAGTTGTAAGTATTCTGATTAAATGCTTGAAGCTATAATTACTGTGTGGTGCAGTCATTAATACATATTGTAACGTTGCTATCTAAAGTATCGTTAATATTTTACTAAAGTATTTTAGAGAATGCATTCAAATTGATTGTTCAACTGCTATTGGCCTTTGGATTTAATAAAGATATTTTAGCTGAATTACTGGCTGGGTCATTCAAATTCCAACGTTTCCCTTTCTCTGAAGTGGAAAGATGTTTCTATTGGACTGTCATTTAAAAAACACAGTGAGTTTCTCATCCATTAATTGTTTGGGGGAAAACTTTTGGATGTTTCCAAAATAGTTTGAAAAGATCAAAAAATTATTTTTGGTTCTCACATTTTTTACCAGGAGACAAATGAAAGACTTGGACCACCATTGTGGTGGAAACTAATCAGCTGCTTCCTTCTGCTGTTCAGATGTAGCTTTCCCAGAAGTGGAGAGCAAGAGCTATAGTCAGGATTAGTAAGGAGTGATTTTAAATGACTAGAGTTCTTTACATTTTCAAGATGTTACTTTGAAGAAATCTCAGAAACTTTAAATGCTCTAATTCACTGCCACTTCTGTAGATTTCAAGATCAGAAGATCCTGATATGACCATTTCTGACAGATCTCCTATATGATGCAGGCCATATAATTTCACATAATAATTGCTTCATCTAGCTCAACAATTCATAAATGAGCTAAAGTATATAATTTAGAAAGGCATTCAGCCTCGATTTACATTAAGCAGTGCTAGCATTTCTGTCAAACTTGCTCAAAACTTACTCACCTTGTATGTATAGATGACAAGCTAAACATCTAACATCAAAACACATGTTAAGAAAAAGGATAATACTTTAAAATGAATATAAACAGATTTCTTATATCAATTTCAGTATGAAAATCCATTATCAATGCTACAAAATCAGCCAGCTGAACATGAGAAATTGAGAACTAGGCAGTTATTCACCCAAATTGACCCATGGAGGAATAAGAGAACTTGCCCTTTGGTTTAGGACAATAAGACTTTATTGAAGACACAAGGATGTTTCTCCTTTCCACAATGCCAGATCTTTCTTTACTATTAAGCTACATATTAGGAAGATGCTTGGGAAGAGGTAAGCAGGATTCTATAACTACAGTTGTCACTAGCACAGACAGGGAAGAAGATAAGGAGCTACTGCATCAGAATGAGGTAGGTTTCACTAAGTAAGCAGTGATGTACTTACTCTTCATTGGTGTTGTTGCTGTAGTTGACATTATATCTGGCCAAGGACCAGTGACTGCAGCATGTTAAATAAAACACAGCAAAGGGAGAGTACAAAAGCCATAGATTTTTTGTGCATGTGTTTATTGAATAGATTGAATTACTAGTCCATCACATACTCTGAAAAGATTAGGAGGGCTGCATCAGTAAGCCCCTTTACACAATTATTCAGGACACCAGTTCCCCTTAATCACATGCTGAACGTACACGTTTGTGACCATGTCAGATGTCTGAAGCACTTTAGTCTACTCTCAGGCACACTAATGCTTGACAGCATGGATGCCCCTATTTATAGCAGTTCGCCTGCTTGGCTGCTATTATAAGTTGTTCTCAAGGCTTTCAAGTCTTATTCAAAGAAGCAACACCAAGACTGAGGGACAGATTATCAGGAATGTTTATTGACAGTTTAATGCTTCATAGTCTCACTAGGATTGGGAGCTGCTATAGTGGAGCAGAATCAGGCTTTCTTGTATTAATATATAAGTGAATGTTAGTATGGGGACAACCTTGTCCACTCACACAGCTTTAAGGGCATGCTGACAGACTGGTTAAGTGGTTAAGGTATCTCATTACACTTCCTGGGTGCATCCAGATGAGTGTGGACATTTGGTTTCCCAGGGACAAGCAGCAGCAGTGCACCTTGGGCCACAGCTACTTGTCCCTGGGGAATGCTGATGCCACATGAGCTTTGGCGTGCAGCATGTTACCCCAGGTGGGGTAGGAGAGGCTGAGGCCAGCACTGGACTGGCCACAGCAGCCTTACCTGAGGTCCTGGGGCTGCAGCAGCAATGATTCTGCCGTGTAGAGCCTGGCCGGCAATTGAAGTATAGCTCTGGATGGCCCAGCTCCACTTTTGAGCAGTGCACCCTGCCTGTGCATATCCTGCTCCACTTTTTTTCTGTGGATTTTTTTGACCCCTGGATATCCAGGGGTCAAAAAAACTAGTGGACAAAAAAAGCAGTACAGCACACACACAGGCAGTGCACCCTTACATCATGGCAAACATCTAGATGTGCAGTATGTGGCACCCCAGATGTGTTTGCAGCACCACATACCACATGACCATGCTTGTCTGGGCACAGCCCCTGAGGTGTGAGTTCAAGCTCTGCTCTGGACTTATGCCAAAGGCTAATCCCAATTTACTCAGCTGGAAATGGGTACACAGAAGTCATAAGCAGCTGGTTGTGCTACATCACTCCACAAGCACACATTACTGATGTGCCTTAACTATGTGACCCTGATATACTACCTTTGAATCTGAATCACTTTTTGTCTTTCTGATGTCTGGGTCAGGAGTCTAACACTTGGTGGTCAATATGAAAGCAAGGGCAGCAGTGTACCTTGACAAATATACTGGGTGTGCAAAAGAAATACATTGGTTCCTAACTAAACTCATAAAACGTAAGTTCAGTGAAGAGGCTGAATCTGTTGTAAATTACTGTGATCTGACTTATCAGACAAGAGCACAAACGAAATTAATTGATAATTCACCTCCTTGCTCAACTTTTGGTAACCACAAAAGTGGGTAAGGATCCTGCACTTCAGACTAACATGCCCTCTAAAAAGTCAATTTTTGTCTCTGTGTTTCAATAAAAGAGGCCAGGGTAGTGTGGGTGCTAAGGCATATGGTTGACAGCCCAGAGGTAGCAAGTTGGAGGCCACAGCAGAAATGCTCATGGCATGGTCCTGTCAGATTCTAACAAATTTGTGAATTCTGCTAAGTATTTTGTCAAAAGGAAAGGAACAAATTCTAAGGATATTCTTTATGCTGAGTTACTTTAAACTCCTGTGCCATGATTTTTTGCTCATTGGCAAAGTGGAAATGTATGATGTGTTCTCCTGAAGGCCCTGGTTACTTTAATTAATCAAACAAGTTTAAGACAAGACTCAACTTGCTCATGATGCTAAAGAGTGAACATTTTCTAATAATTCAGGTCAGCAGCCAAGAATTTCTGATTCTAGACCAGGACCTATTAATGATGTCAGTGGTTGAAATCCAAGTAGGTAGAATTAAGTGCTAATGAATTTTGTAGGACTATTTATCATGGATCTTCCAAGTACTTGAATATCTTGGGAAGTCACTCTTAGAATCACACAACACTTCCATGCTTGCATCAGGAACTGCTTTCAAGTAGTAATGCAAGAACAGATAAGCTGGCCATAGACCAATGTGGCCCTTGAGAATTATTTTCCTCCTAAGTAGTGGAGATTAAAGTTCAAGGTCTGAACAAAATTTACACCAGAAATATCATAAACCAAAGGCCTCCCTTCCACAATCCTTGCCCACGTACCTTTGAGGGGAGAGAAGGAACCATTCAAAATGAAATAGGATTCAGTATCATCATTCATATGATAGTCATGCTATTGCCTTTTTTCCATGCTTCCTCAGGGTTGGATAGTCTGAATATTTATACCCCAACCCTGCTTGGGGAAGGGAGAGAAAACCTGGTATGCCAACGGTTTGGGTGGGATAAAGCACATTCCTTCCATTCAAGCACTGGATTTATTCTTACCTGAGCACTTCTAAACTGTGAATGCACATTGGCTAGTAAGCACAATGACTGCAGACAAAAGTAGTGGAAAATCATCAGCCATAGGTGAATTAACAACTTTGTCTGCATGTGACACCCTTTTGTAAAAGTTTCTTTGTTGTTCCAACTGCCAGAGAAATGTAGCATTTGATTTGTACTTCTGAAAACTGCTTACAAAGTAGGACTTGTGCCTCCCTCAGTGAGGACAAACCCTAGAGAGTTTTTAAATTGCACCATGTCCTCCCTCTACTGCTTAGCCAAGGAATTCTGCCAAAGCAATGGTAACCTACCGAAAACCATGTATGAAATCCCTGGCATAATAATCCCTAGGTAAACAATTTAGTAAGTACTATATTTGTTTTTGTCCTAAAATGCATTCTCTCAAGGTCTCTTGGAACTGGAAATGGTAACTTCTGTACAATTAAGAAATCTCCATGCTTTCTTCAGTTCTGAAGTTGGAAGATTTTATTTACATGAAAGTTCCTGGAGAGCAACAGCTACCCTACTCATCTTCTTCCAATAAAGCCTGGGCTTCTCATACCGCAAACAAAGAAAATGGCAATTACCCCAAGGTCCCTTTTCTCCCAGAAAAATATAATCATATCATCTTACCGTTTCCGTCCAGCTGGCTGCTCAGGGTTTCCCAAATTGGAGTGAACGTTGCTTTGCCTGCTGGACACTTCTTTGAGCTCTGGCCCTCGAATACGCTCAAGGAAAGAATCCGGCCTTTGGTCTTCACGATGCAAATGCCTTGTGGCCCATGATCTCAGAGATATCATGAACTGAGACACCCTGCAAAGAACATAGGTGCAAAACTATCTGAACAAGATGAAAATGTCAGATGGAACATCAAGAATCGAACAGCTACCACTAGAAGCTAGAACAGCTGCATCAGTTGGCTTGGAAAATTGCCCAACCAAGGTTTTCATAGTCTCAGGATGCCCATCACATACTAGAACTAACAGTCTATAGTAGTGGTTAGGTTGCAAGTGGCAGCCTCCCACTTGAAAATGTTGTGACCCCTAAAGTAGAGGGATCAGGAGGTCTCTTCTCTTACCATGACCTAGAGAACTCCAACTCCAACCAGTACAGCATGGGAGCCAGACAGCAATTGCCAATCAACAAGCAGGCTGCCAAGAGAGAGAGAACTGAAATCTGCCTTCAGAGCTAGGGGTTTCTGACATAAGGAGGAACCTTGGTGGGTGAGGGATCCTGTGATGAGAGATCATGAACTTAAATGTGGTCATGTAAAATGAGCCCAAAAGATGCCCTGATGATGAAAGAGAATGGGCCATGGAAGAGCTGGATTGTGAAATGATGGGTGGTGGGAATTCCAGGCAAGAGAGCACTTCCTCTTCACTAGATTTTGCTGGGATGGGTTATAGCTGAATTTTGCCAATAAATGTGCAACCTTATTTTGTAACCCTCATGGATCTAGATTCATGGGTCTAGATCCGTGGCTCTATATTCACCCCCTACCATTTAGAGCACTCACTTGTTCTGTCATATCTACTATCTGACTGTAAATTCATCAGCACAAACAATGTGTCTCCCTTCATATTCCCTAAGTTGTTTAGTGCATAGTACATATATTAGAATGACTAATACTAATACTAGAACTGGTCCTTGCCAGTAATTGACTGTTGCATATAAACTACAATCCCTCGTCCTAAACCCTAATGGAGCACTAGAATCAAGTAAATAAAAAATGTCACAATACTAGAATAGCAGTTTTATCACTGCTGTATTTTAATGTTTCTCTTTATGTTCTTCCCACCCTGAGCTAGGTGCTCTTCAGGGATAATAATTATTCTTGGTAAAACAGAAAAGCGACCTCTGTTTCTGAAATGCAGCCAAGTAACAATACTAGAGGTCAAATTGCCTAACAGTGGGAAGAGTCTATCCAACAATATTCTGTATTATGTTCTAATGGTAACTCCATCTGGACAGTGGTGGTACATTTGCATGCCACACAGACTTGCCTTGAGCAAACAGCATAATAAAATGCTGAACAGAGCAGCTCTTCCTTGATAGGCTTTGTAATATTCAAGAAAAGTTCTTTAGACTTCCCCAGAGGAAACTAGCACTACATCTGCTCAGATGGCATAAGGCTAACCATGATGAAAACACTAGTGCTTAAGCAATTTAAAATGCTATTGTATGGACTATCTGCCACTTGATTACAAATTCTCAAGGTCCTAAGGAAATAGCTTGTGACAGACTCCCTCAGAATATCTTACCTCTAAGATGTAAATGATAATAAAAAAGGAAGTCATATGTGGAGTGAAAGAAATCAGAGAAGAGTATTTTATATGTTTGTTTCCCCATGGGGTCAGGATTGCATGAATAATCTAAGACCTCCATGATTTAAAAGACAAAGTAATTGCAACTCTACCAAAAAAAAAAGGCAACCTCCTCACTAGGCTCACTAAGGTCATGGATTAATTGATACAAGCCTTACCATACTGACAAAAAGGACACTTGTACATGTGATGGGGGTTTAGTCCTTATGGTTGCATTCTATGCCCCCTAAATTGAAACAGTGATTTTAATTGAAACAGTGGATTTTATTTTTCCATCACTGTATATATGTTATTGACCTGGAGGCCACAGGTGTCTGCTGAAGACAAAAGTGGTGAGGGGCCTGATCCTTTTTTTTTTCTGACAGAGTTGGCCAATCTCTCCTATGGCCAGGGGGGCATTAATCAGTGCCATTAATTATCAGCTCGCCTCTCCAGCCTATCAACCTCCTTCTCCAGCTTCCAGCACATCCAGCCACACTCCTGCCACCTCACCATGCTGCCCATGGGGCAAGCCAGCCCATTCCTGTGTGGCCCCAGGAGCTGCTGAAGGCAGAATTGGTGAGGGACCCAATCCTTTCTTTCTGCAGAGCCTGCCCACCTCTTCCACATGTGGGGGTGAAGCTGACTAATGGCTGAAATGTTCAAAGTTGCAATGTTGAAAACTAAATTACATGAGGATTTAATTTTGTTTGCAAAAATGCAAACTCATTTAAAACCCCAAAAACTCCCATCTGTGTAATGGGTGATGCCATTAAGCCACACAAAGGGAAATTTTCATCATGTGCACATTATGATATCATCATGTGTACAAGTGCCCTTCAAATAGGAAATTAAGCCCAAGTGTCTTTCTGCCTGTCTGGGCAGAATTCAGTTTGCAGTTTGCAAATGTAATGAAAGGATTATTTGGGTGTTCTCTCCTCAGTTAAAATTTAGAATATTTAAGCAGGATGTTATCGTATCAGTTCAGGACATGAACAGGTTTTAGAAACTTAAAGAAATTCCCAGTACTTTTTTTTTAAATTCCACTACAAGCCGTTTGCTTTCATACATTGCAAACAGCCTGCTACCGCATGAGAACCCAAATAAAAAACTAACTAAAAGCACAAAGGAAAATGATCATTTTGTTCATCATCTTGTCCAAGATGAAAAATAGTGAAAAATAAATTTTGTTTTAAAAATTACTTCAACAATCCTGAATGTTATCAGTCTTTTAAAAAATAAATGATGTTTAATCTGATAGTGATCATTAATGTATTTAATAAATATATCATAAAACAAATAGAGCGTTGTACCCCCAGCTGAAATTCTCTAAATCACACCCAGAGGTCTTGATTCAGAAAGCACTTAAGCACATGTTCAGCTTCAGGCATGTTGTTAAGTCCCCTCTAAGTAAATGACACTTAAGCATGCTTAATCTCAAGGATTTGCTGGAAGCTGTTCTGAGATGCTTTCCTGAATTTGTATCAGAGCCAGAATCAACAGCCTTTCTTAATTGTGGCTCCAAGTGAGTCACACATATCTTAGTCCTAAAAATACCCAGTAGACCCTGCATCCCCAGTGCAAGATCTACCTCTATTAAGGCTAAGAGGGAATAATTCCTCACTTTGTGTTCAACAGAATCTATTATAACCAGTTAACAACCTAGAGAAAAACTTCTATTTATCCCTGCACTTACTGCCTGACCTCATTTCATCTCCGGTATTCAATTTCTTTTCAGTGCTGATGATCTCAAGATGAATCCCTTTCTCCTCCTTGGATGAGCCCGCTGGAGCCCCATCACCAGCTCTTGCACACTAGAGATTTTATTCCAATTTGACTGAGTACAGATGAGTACAGAATCAAGGTCAAAGCACCTTTGTTTCATTTAAGGTTTCTTGCGGACCTCTCCATTTCAGATGGACTGAACTCATTTTCTTACAGAAATGATGAACTTCTTTCCCTTGCTTGCAATATTCAGTAATTTCTTGAAAGCGTATTATCCTTAATATTGGGAATGAGATTAGTTAGCTAGTCACCTGGCCATTGCTCCCCTGCCTGTGAATGAGCTCCTCCGTGATTCTGACGGGCCTCTTGTCTCCATGGAAATGACTCTCTGCAATTCTGAACATGTGTCCTCACACAGTGAATGGGTCCTGAAAAAGCAAATATATTTTTAAAAGATTTTACTTAGCTCTGAATTGCTTTTGCCAATCATTCAGTTCTGTGCATCAACTCAGGAAACACTAGGGGAAAAATCCTACTTTTTCCATCACAAGTACTACCTCAGCCAAGCACAAAGTAAACACATGCAAGGCCTGCTATTTTGGTTTCCTGGGACTGCACCCTGTGAAATCAATGGAAATTCTGCTATCCATGTAGGCAGACATAGAAAGTGATTCTACCAACACACGGTCTTAACAGTACACAATACAAAATTTGTAGTAACTAGTATACAATCAAATGGCATCCCATTGACACTATTGAACTCTATGAATTTTAAAATCATGAGATTGTCTTTGAAATCACAAAATTTTAAGAATGAGTGAAATCTTACCCTTATTAAAAGTCAACCAAACATTCAGAATTGACTTCAATTGAGCCAAGATTTCATCCAATAAACTTGTGTGTTCTTTTTATTTGTCTCTTAATTGTGTTTCAGATTCATTTTTTCAACCATTCTTCCATGACCATGAAGCCTAGAAACTTACTATTATTATACCAAAACCAGAGAGTCTATTACCTAAGGCCTTAAGGAAAACACTAAATACAATGAAACCTACAATAAGATTGCAAGAACTGGCAATACTGCTTGGGTATGCTGCACCAGTGAGCAATCCATTAACTAACTTGGATGTACTCACAATGCAAAAAAGGACTTACAAAAATTTATACTCAATATGGCATCATTTTATCGCACTGAAAAGAACTTTGTTCCAAATTGGATTAGAGACTACAAAGATTTTCACCACTATCATCTTATTGTCTTCCTGACACAAAGAGGTATCATGTACCCTGTTTGATGCTGGAAAGTAAATTCAAATACATGTGCACACACAAATACACTGAAGTACTATTTTAACTCTAATATTTTATTGCTTTTCCTGTCATTTTTTCTTATAAGTCTGGGAAGTGTTTTACTTTAAAAAAGGAAAGAATGGATGGGAGTTCTTATAGAAATGACTATGCTGCAGAAACACAGAGCTGAGAAAAGAATCCCTTTTAGAGAAATAGAGATCCTATGAATGTCCAAGAAGGTTGGAGCTAATACAATGAGTATGCAAAGGCAAATGATTCCAAACAGAGGATTTCTTGTTCCAGAATCAAAGGCCATATTAATCACCTGCTACTGCCACATTGGCCATTTGTTTTGGGACAGCTAGGTTAAGAACTCCACATCTTCTTAGTGATGGGCGCACGATCTCAGATGTTCAGAAAGTCCAGGTTAAGGTATTGGACATGTGTTCATATGGTCTGAACAAAATCCAGGCAGGTGAGACTTACTACACAAAAGACATTATTTCCTGGCTTCTTTGACTTACTTTTCCCTAAAAGTCCCTACACTCAATCTCCTCTTCATTGATACTAGCATTGCTCTGTTCGGATACTTGTTGGCATTAGGTAAGGAGTTAAGTGTGTCAATACCAGATCTGGCAAAGAGCACATCCATATTACAGACTCCACTTTGGTGCTGAGATAACTGAGCTAACTTAATCTGACCTACATGGGATATAGGTAGCAATCTTGCTGCGGTGGCATGGAGCTTAGTCTTGGTTAATTTACCATGTATTAGCAATTACGTCTATTATTCTCCTTGCTCACAATAGCCTCCTCAGTATTTTGTACCCCTCACAAATTAAAAATCTGGAGTCCACTATGCCCTCACAAAATTGGAAAGTAATAAACATGTTTAATATAACTGCATTTATATAGTATGTTTTGAGGTGTCATCTGGGAAGCACGGAGCTATCTGTCTTGAAAGTGTTAGCTACAGGAAACATATAACCCTAGCTCTTCATCTTTTTATGCAAGTTTTATATTTGATAGCAGATGTAATTCAAGCTGATAACTGTGATCTATCAAGTGATAAGTCTGAGTCCGATGTGAGAGACTAGCTTTCAATCTATTTGAGATCAGTTGACACTTTATATGTATGGCTCAGTACAGTGCCATGTAGAAATAGTTATGGCAGAGCTGAACTAAGTAAATCAAAAGCACTGTAGCCTAAGAAGCAGAGTATATTACCTCAGGCAGAGCACCAGGCTAACCTGACTATACTGCTTCTGGTGCCCAAGCACTGTGCCATGTAGACATAATCTAAGTCATAAATGTAATCACTTAGAATCCAACCCAGTGACTATTTAAATCAATAGAAAGACCCCCCTGTCAGGTGGGTGAGACTGCTACTTGTTAGTGACTGAGCATGTTCAGAAGAGGATGATAATTCCCTCCGCTAGCTTAGCTTTCAAAAAGTGCAAGGCTTTCCTCAGGCTTTGGCCAAGAGGCCAGTGCTGGATGGGTGGATTGCTGTCTTAGTGTACTTTGGACTGTTTTGTTTGGGTTTTATGATTTCTCTTCTTTCTATTTTTATTTTTTCCTTGCTTGACTTCCATTTTAAAAAGGGCATTTGCTGTATTAATTTGTCTGTATGAACCTTGAGACTTTTTGCAGCTGGGCTGATCTTATAAAAAATATTTACACTGGATATAATGTAGACAGGTAGGGACAACATAATCCTTTTGTGAAGAAAGTACTCAAGCGATCACATTCCACATTCACAGCAAGTCTTATGCATATCTAACAAAATCATAAAAAATACACTAAAAATGCACCAGAGATCTTTGTTTCTGAAACTATCATTCTGACATCACATAGAATTAATTAGAAATACATTAAAACAGATTCTACTCTCATTTAACCAAGTAAATCTGAAATGAACTCCATTGCATAAGACAGTATTTGTCTGATTTCTTTCTCCCTCTGTTTTTCTACGGTCCTTGTCCTCTTAGACCAGCGGTCAGCAACATTTAGGAGTGGTGGGCACAAAAACTCTGTTGGCTCCAAAGCAGACTAGGGCTTTTCACTCAGCTGCTGCCATATCTCCCAGCCACCCTCATGATAACAAATCCCCACTGTCACTGCAGAATCACCAATGAATCATCACCAACATCTGGGCTTCGTGGGCCAGATAAAATCATTCTGTGAGCCAGAGCCAGCCCACAGGCCATAGGTTACCAACCCCTGTCTGAGGTCATGACACGACACGGGCCTGATTACACAGGCACAAAGGCCAGCCCACAGGAAGCCAGGTGCAAGAATGGGAATATATTCTAAGCAACTCAGTGCAGTGTTGTGTTTTTAATTTTGTTCGCATAGTGCCAGGGAGGGACCATCCCAATTGGGTGCTATTGTAACATAAATATTAAAATATTAGTAATAATTATTGCTATTGTTAACCCAAATTGTACAGTCAGTCTGTGGGGAGAATATGGAGCTTATTGAGCAAAAGATAACGGCACAAAATAAAAGTGGTGAGAAGCTCAGTTCTGCACCTTCAGCTCAAACTCATGGTAGACATCGAAGAGCTATTGTGCCACAGCAGGAGATAGGGGGCTTTTGTCTCAGAGGGAATGAAGGTGCTGCACTACCCGTTGGGGACTGAAGCTTTCCATCCCCTCTGCAAATGATCAGTCATGTGGGGCCCAAGCTCTTCTTGTCCCTTCTAAGTGTCTAGCAGATGTAGCTCAGCATGCTGCTTGCAAGAGAGGTGCAGAAGGACAGGCTCTTTGTACCTTTTTATATGCCCAGATAGGTCAGCCATAATCTGGTCCTAAATTTAGTTTTGCATTCATTTGGCTTCTGAGCAAAATAAAAGAAAATCACTTCCAGTTAAAACAAAAGAAAATAAACAGCATTATGAAATGGAAACTGCTGTTATGTTCTCAATTGGTTATGAATGGGGCATCAAACTGACCTCCCTGCAGAAGCAGGGAGGTCAGTTTGATGCCCCACCTAACTGATGTCATTTAGACATCTAGCCTCCTGGCTCTACTTGCTTGTCAGCTTGTTTCATTCATCTGCTAGTCAACAATAGACCTGCTCTGTTAACAACACCCATTTGTTATGAGAGGCTGGATTTTAAAAATCAGGGGCAAAGTTCTTTGGCACATTGGACTCAGTCACAGTTTTAAATTTGCCTGTGTCCCACTGTAAGACAACCTCTCCAGCCATCATTGCCAGGCCTCACTATATCTGCAGTTTTTCTTAAACCCTCATCTTTGGGGTCATATGCAGAAATCTGCTTCCTTCTGTTTAAAAAGTAAGTTTCTAGTCTTCATACTTGAGTGGGGAAAACTTGAAAGTGTGTAACCCCGAGCAAGAAAGTACATGAAGCAACTCCCACATTTGCTATTTTAAATATCCTACAATTCTTAAAACAATCTCATGGTTTTGAAGGTATTTAGCACTTGATTTTTTTTTTAATGCCAGGGTATTCATAGTTTCATAGTTTCATAGTGGTAGGGTCAGGAGGGACCTGAACAGATCATCTAGCCTGACCCCCTGCCATAGGCAGGGATGAATGCCGGGGTTCCAAGACCCCCCACCGGGGGACA